AGAGAGAGAGAGAGAGAGAGAGAGAGAGAGAGAGAGAGAGAGAGAGAGAGAGAGAGAGAGAGAGAGAGAGAGAGAGAGAGAGAGAGAGAACACAAGAGCGAACGAGTGACAGACAGAGAACCACAGACAGGTCACAAACAGGAGGATTCCTCCACTTGTATTCCCAGCTATAATCAATCATATTCACTACACTGGAAGCTATGGTAGGGCTTCATCCTAAAAGTTCCAGGGTGAAGCTTCACCATAGAAGATAACTGGGTAGAGGAGGAGGCCAGACAGGAGGATTTTAGGGTAAAGGAGGAGCACAGGGAGGAGGATATTATGGTGGAGGAGGAACCAACCTTGGAGGAGGAACTGGGGTAGAGGAGAAGCCCAGGGTAAAGGAGGATATTAGAGTGAAGGAGGAACCCACCTTATAGGAGGATCTAAGAGTTAAGAAGCCGAGGGAGGAGGAGCTAGGAGGATATTATAGTAGAGAAGGAACCCACCTTGGAGGAGGATCTAGGAGTTAAGAAGCCCAGGGTAAAGGAGGATATATACTATAGTAGAGAAGGAACCCACCTTGGAGGAGGAACCTGGGGTGGAGGAGCAGGAGCTGAACGAGCCTGCACTGTAGCCGCTGTGTGTGGAGCCATGGCTACTACCCGCCGGACTCTTCGTCTTGAACGCGACCATGCTCTGCGCGACGCCCTCAGCCAGGATAAACTGTTCACGCAGCTCCAGGTTCGTGCGACCCTTCGCTGAAAACAAGAGAACTCAAAACCGTAAAAGTCGCACGCCAAACAAGAGCGCAGCTGCGGCGAATTCGTGCTGCACGAAAGAGAAAAAAGCGACGGAGGAAAAAGAGGAGCATGGTTATTCGTAGAATACGGTAAACAAAGAACATTTACGGATCCATCAATTGGTTATAGTTATTCCCTCATACACAAACATTGCGGACACATATACGGTTATAGTTATTTACTCATGAACAAAAATGGCTGATGCATGGTCATAATATCCTTCTCATACACAAACGTGGCCGACACATGGGTACATGGCTGCCGTATTACCTCTGCATGGATCGTTCTTGACAAGAAATTCGTCCAGCGGCATCCAGCCGCCACCAACTCGAACCATCACCGTGCTTCGCAGAATTCTCACTAGGCGGAGCTTCTGAGAGTCACCAAACTGCAACAGACGCCAGCCAGACGACGGTTAGTTTAATCGCTTCCTTCGTTCGTTAATTGGTTCGTTAATTGGTTCGTTAATTGGCTTGATAATCGGATGCGTATTCACGAATAGGTTTACAAACGTTGGAGTCTTCGGTTTGGAGGGAGGAGAACAACTGAAGGTAGAAAAAGTAAGACGAGCTAACGAAACAGCAACAGCACACGTACGCGTAGTAAGTAAAGTATTGCTAACTAAGTATATATTGTGCACAATGTGTACAGTCAAGGTCAATGATATATACTTGTCGTGACAGAATACAGAGGAGAAATGTAATATGTAAAGAGTAAATTAATATCAACCTCGTGTCAACTATTTAAAAAAACACGAGCATTAATAATGATAATAATAATAATAACTAACAACAACAACAACAACAACAACAAACAGATTTCAAATCATGACAACCAAACCCATGCACTCATGCATGCATGCACACACTCCACATCTGTGTACTCTCTCAGTGAGAGGCGTGCACTGCTATAATAATTTAAGCCATGCAATGTGTATTGGCGCGATACGCAAGCGGGCGAGCATATACACTGCTCACGTCATAGTAAATAAGTATGTGCATCAATCAAGACATTCTTAGATAGAAGATTCAGATCTTCTGGAAGAGATATTGCTTGCAAGAAACAGGCATGGTCAATGCTGGGTACACACAACGACAAGAGCTATAAGGGAATGCATGGTACAGGTGGTTCAAGAGACGGGAGCTAGGGGAAATGCAGGATACAGATAGTCTCAGAGACAGAACCTATGGGGGAATGCAGGATACATATAGTCTCAGAGACAGAACCTATAAGGGAATGCAGGATAGATGTGGTTTCACAGACAGGAGCGATGGTTAGGAAGCAATGGAAGGGTTCTGCGATACCATCGTGCTACAAACACCAGCAGAGCATACGCAGGTGCTAACATCGTCCAACCGGTCCTGCTGCACTAGAAGAAAAGCCAAATTTAAGTCATCTTGATCAATGCAGGTGGCAGCACGGTGCACCAGATTCGATGATGACATCATGCCGTAGCAAAACAATCGCGTCACCACGGCAACCGAGCAGATGACAATCCATCAAGCACACCTGTGCAGCATGCCAGCACGTATCCTCATCACATCACCATGACAACGAGCTGTCGTCGAGCAAACAGACGGTGGCGCCCCCTGGCGTGCCGGCATGGCGTGCAACATGGCGGAGCGTCGTCCGCAGTCGTGCACCGCACACCCACACGACCTTACCTTGAACTTGCGAAAACTCCGCTTTTGCTCGAACCGCTGTCGAATTTCATGAGGGAAAGTAAAAAATGGCCGTGAGTCTAGAAACGCAGAGTGACAGAGTGTGTGTGTGTGTGTGTGCATGTGCGTGCAGGTGTGTGCGTGTCCGTGTGTGTGCGGGCACGCATGTGTGCGTGTGTGTGTGTGTATGTGTTTGTGTGTGTGTGTGTGTGTGTGTGTGTGTGTGTGTGTGTGTCTGTGTGCGTGTGTGTGCAAGTGTGCGTATATGTGTGTGTGTGTGCGTATACGTGCGTGCGTATGTGCATACATGGATTAAACCCCACCAACCGAGATCTCTAGAGCTAGCCAGGGCAATGTGGTCCTGGGTTTAATGTCACACAAATTCGAACCTACTTATACTAAACACACCATCGACCAGCCTAAATAATGCATAAACAAACTGCGAGGTAAATATTGCAGAAAAGAACTGTAGGAGAAGGTAGCAAAAGGAAACTGATGCTTAAACAATTATTTTAACTGCCCCTGGGTGATCGCCAGGTATAGCAGTGTGTTGCAATAGGGGCGTTCTAAACATACAGCTCATTGATAGTAATAAACTACCATTTCATTCAATATGCACGCACGCACGAAAACATAACATACAATCTGGTCTACCTTGACTAACTTAGCAAAGATATCCACGTGGTGCCAATGGTTATTTCACTCAGTCGAATATAGGTCAGTTAGGCAAGTCCAAATGTCGGAAATGTATGAAATGGAGTCCAGAGTTTAGAAGATCCACGCTTTAGGACGCCCCAAACTTAAAATATAGTCCCCCAAAGATTAAAATGGCTAATATGGGAGTGTGCATGCAGAAGGTGCTACTGTGGGTGTGTGTACGACCGACTCAAATAAAAGTAGTATATATATCCTCAGATGAATAATCATTCAAACCTGTCAAGCATTCATCATTGATTAAGGTATAGAGACTTTATATTTTCTCATTGTGCAATTTTATATTTCCGAGGGAGATAGGTATTACTTACTCTGTACATTCCTTCTCCGATCTGGTGCACGATGAACAGGTGGGGGCAGGTGCACTGACACACCTGCCTCTGGACCTCATCGTCTATCTTCTGAGCTTCTGACTTCGGCTTCGGTCTCTGCGAGAAACAACAACGCATCTTATTACGGTGGCTAAGCTTCACCCTCGCTCTTTGTTCAGCTGTAAGTTCAGCTGTATAGGACGGGCCGAAGCGGCGCAGCGTACATTTTTATTTTATTTTTAGAGAAGAAAAAATGAGGAGAATAGTTGGGAATTTGTAATGTGATTTTGTTGAAAATTAAAAGAATTCGTTTTCTGTGACGAATGATCGTGCAATTTAAATAGTAATAACAATATAATATAATTCATATAATAAAATATAATGAAGAAAGAGTAGTAGTCACGCAGCATTGGCTCCCCAGTATTCTGCCCGATACACCGCTTCCTCTAAGAACGAGTCATTCTAAACAGCAAACATCTACACGCCCTCTTCAAGTTACTACTACTAGCATGAGAAGTTGAGATCGCGCTTATTTCCGATCAATCAATGAGATGATCGATATCATGATCGATGGGCTTACGTCCAAGTCCGGTTTGAGTGCCGCCAGAAACTCCTTGTAGTCGATGAATCCGTCAGCGTCTTTATCAAAGATGTCCGCCACGGCTCCCATCTCCAGCTGTGAGGTGGGAAACTCTGCAAGGTCGCGGAAAGGACGTTGAATGCACAGCCGCGAAAGTCGTCGATAACGATTATGTGGGCATCGTACCACGAACATATATGGTAATACTATATATGTGTAATTTATGCAGTTGTAAGTGCTAGCATGAAAAATATAAGGCAGCATGAAGTGCAACATAATGCAACCTAACATGACAGAATGATGTCATTCGACAGCGTGACAAGATGTGACATAACGTGGCATAACTCACTTGACTTCAGGATGCCATTGATGAACTCATCACGCGTGACTTTACCGTCGCGGTCCTTGTCAAGCCGTCTGAAGAACTCCGCCATGCGACCCTTATCGTAGTCCATCCAGTCCAAATACTGGCAGAAGAATGCATCAAATTTTAGCGAAGGAAATCCACACCACACTCTGCAGTTTCGTGGCGGTGTTATTTTATTAATGGTAGTACTGTTCGGATTTACCAAAAAAAAGATGGGTTTTCCGCAAATTTAGCGATGGAAATCCACACCAATGTCTGCAGTTATTCATCCATTCATTATTCACTATTAGTTATTTATTATTAATAGTATTTTATTCACGGTTGTACTGTCCAGAATTGACCCAAAAAGATGACTTTTTGAAAATTCACTCGCTGCAGTTTTGTGTGGGGGGTTATTTTACTGATGGTATTACTGTTTGGATTTAGCAAAAAAAGATGGGTTTTTCCGCAAATTCCAAAACTTTATGCAAAAATTCTCACCCGCTTCCTCCAGTCGTCGAACTTGAAGTTCTTGAGTCGTTCGATCTCCATGAGGCTGTTGTAGGCGTCATTGAGTTTACGCTGTCGCTCCATCGCCAGCAGCCAGACGCCGCGCCACTTGTTAAACAGCTCAGCGACCTTCGGGTCCTGCTTGTCCGGGCTGCAAGCAGACGATAGGTGAGTGACACCGGCATGGAGGAGAAGAGGAGAGAGAGAAAGATAGAAGAAGAAGAAGAAGAAGAAGAAGAAGAAAAGGGAGAAGAAGAAGAAAAAGGAGAAGAAGAAGAAAAAGGATAAGAAGAATAAAAAGAAGGAGAAGAAGGAGAAGGAGAAGAAAACGAAGAAGAAAAAGAAGAAAAAAAAAAAGAAAAAACACAAAGAAGAAAAAAATGAAGAAGAAAAAGAAGAAGAAAGAGAATAATTTTACTTGCTCATGTATGTAGCTTGAAGTATCTACATATTGTAGTAGAACGTATTTGTAAGTGCGCACGTACACTGTGCCTGTCCATGTGCGTGCGCGTGTGCGTGCAGTATGTCTTGGTACGTGTCAGTGTGTGCGTGCTTGTATGCACGTGTGTGTGTGTACGTGTGCGTGTGCGTGTGTGTGTATGTGTGTGTGTGTGTGTGTGTACGTGTACGTGTACGTGTGTGCGTGTGTATGTGTGTGTGTGTATGTGTACGTGTGTGTGTGTGTGTGTGTGTGTGTAAGTGTGTGCGTGTATGTGTGCGTGTGTGCGTGTGTGTATTATCATGATAATGGAGCCTCACCTCTGCTTGCCCTTCTTGCCTGCTGCTGGTGTGCTGGTGGCTGGGGCCGCACGCTTGCCGGACTTGGTTATCTGTTCCACCTCCGGTTGCTTGGACATCATATCTCCCTGGAAGGACTGCGGAAGGAAACGGAGAGCTCAGAATTACGGAATCCGTGCATTGGAACACACTGGAACTATGATTGAAAGTGTCGGAGTCTCACTTCATCCTTGACGCTTCAACGCATTTTTCTTCTTGGAAGTTTTCATTGTATTTCACGATAATTTTTAATAATGTCTGTATTTCTTTGATTTATCTTAGATATAATTACTCTGACCCCAATGGGGTTTGCGAAAGCTGCTGCAGGCACCTCTGCTGAGATGACTCTTCCTTCATCTCTCTCTCCCTCCCCTTATGTCTTCCTTTCTCTCTCACTATCTCTCTTTCCCTCACTCTCTTTCTCCCTCCATTTCCCCTATCTCTCCCACTCTCTCTCTTCCTCCCTTCTGCCCTCTCCCTTCCCTCCCCCCTCTCACCCTTCCCTTCCCTCCCTCCCGCTCCCTTCCTCTCCCCTCTCCCTCCCCTTCCCTCCCTCCCGCTCCCTTCCTCTCCCCTCTCCCTCCCCCTCTCTCACCTGGTGCTCCTGCATCAGCTTCTGCACAGCCTCCAGGTTGTCCGGTATTGGCTTCGCGTCCTGTGACCTGAGGTCATCTTCCGCGCGGATCAGCCATGCTAGCAGTTCCTCCAGCATGTGTGCGCTGTCTTTCAATCCCTGCACACACACACACGCACGCACGCACGCACGCACGCACGTAAGAGAGCGCCGGTGAATACATAACATACACGTGATACGACTACACGACACTGAATACTAACATAGCACAACTATGCTATAAAGTATACGTATACACGTACATGTATACGGTATAAAGCATGTACATGGATGAGTGTAGTTACATGCACATTCGAATAAATTAGATATATAGTTAAACCCGTGTTAACAGACACTTCTATGGAACTGATAGGCACTTCTGTGGAGTCCTCCCACTCCTTTCCTTTCTCTCCCACTCTTTATCACCTCCCACTCCTCTCACTGACCCTTTTACCCCGCCCACACAGCTGTGGTTGGGACTCATTGTGAAGCCTCCGCATTGGCTTCTTCCCTCCCTCTCTCCCACCCTTCCCCTCTTCCCCCTTCTCCCTCTTCCTCCTCCCACACACCCACAGATGCTTGTAGAGGCAGTCCTCACACTGTGAGGTCTACGCATTGGCTTCTTTAGTCCCTCTCTACAACCATCCTCATCTTCCCCCTTCTCCCTCTCTACCACCCTTCCCCCTGCTTCCCCTGCCTCCCCCTTCTCCCTCTTCCTCCTCCCACACACCTGCAGATGCTTGTAGAGGCGGTCCTCGCGCTGTGAAGCCCACGCGTTAGCTTCGTCCCAGCGTTGCTGGATGACGGACAGCCAGTGTTTCATCGATCTCTCAGCCTCCGGGTGACACTGGGCCATGATCTCGTCGCCGAGCGACTTGCAGTGATTCAGCGCCCCCTCGTGTTCAGCCAGCTGCGCGACGAGCCGCTGAAAACACAAGAACGCATTGAGTGGCGTTGACGGGGGAGAGAAGGTGCAGTGCAGACGCAGGAAATAATCGTTCGATCGAGAAAAAATATTTAGTTACATGTTATTAATTTAATAATTATATAAATGATATATAATAAAATAATTAAATTGATAATATATAATATTAGTTCAATTTTTTTATATTGAGTAAAAATATATATAATAGGAAAAATGTCACGAAGAATGCTCCCAAGGAATATAGGAGACATCCTTCAATAAAATATATAGGTTAATACAAGTTAATATATTGATTTATAATTTATATATGAGTTATAACGATAACAATAAGCCCTAATAAAATTATTTAACGTCATAAGAAACAGTAATACGATAACTTCATTTTAAACGGTGGCAACTAAAGCCGAATATTATGCGTAAGATCGGAGATGCTCTAGTGGCGAACATTAACGATTCGAACCAGTAGATGTCACCATGAACAGCTCCCAGCTTACTCCTGCATTCTTGTATGAAACCCACAAGAAAAAAAGCTTAAATGAAATTTTCACTGAACATGTAAGGCAGCCCTCATTCCCAGCCCCCCCCCCCCAGGGAACAAGTGGTGCTACCTGGTGGTCGTCGAGCTGTTCCTTGATGATGTCTTCGTCCTCGGACAGCGGACCAGCGTGACATAGCTCCAGCTCGGCGTCCGACAGCCACTCCAGGAAGGCGTCCACCGACACACGGAAATCCTCGCCCTACACAGACGCACGTACACACGGCTCAGTAATGACAGGACCCAGTGACAGGGTGTGTTAGCAATGATGTAGCTTAGTGACAATGCACATGCATGTATGTCAGCTCCCCCCACACTGCTCCATCCATACACTCCCCACCGCACACACTACTTACCACCACCACCACACTCCCCCACACTCCCCCACCACACTCCCCCCACAGCACACACTACTCCCACCCACCAGACTCCTCCACCCCCCCCCACCCCCCCCCCACTACCCCCCACACTCCCCCACCACACTCGCCCACCACCCACCACACTCCTCTACCATACACACTACTTCCCACACGCGTACCACACACGCACCAGTCTGAGAGCTACGTCGATGCGCTCCTGCCTGGCGAGGCTCAGCTTGCAAACGCTGTCCCACATCGCCGTCAGCTCCTGTAGCTCCCCCTGGAGGTGGACGCTGCCCTCCTCGTCGCTCGATTTCTCCAGCAGCTCCTGCGCAGACTTTTGCACGGTGTCGACGCTCTGTGAGCGGATGACGAGCTCGTGGCGGAACGCCTGCAACAAGAGAGCATCCGTTAGAGTAGAAGGACTCGTGCGACAAGAGAGCATGCGTTCGAGCAGTGTTACACGCTACAATTCAATAGTGCATCTGTGATAGAAGAATTCCGCGCCACGACAAGAGAGCAACTATTAAAGAGTAACGACTGTAACAAGAGAGCATCTGTAAAAGAAGCATTATGCCTCCAACAAGAATGCACGCAGTCACGAGCGATGTGGCAGACACCAGATGGCATTAAGAATGGTCACAGCCTTGCATACGTACGCGGCGCGACAGACATCACGAGGCATTAAGGATGGTCGCAGCCTTGTATACGTACGCAGTGCGGCAGACATCACGCGGCATTAAGAATGGTCACAGCCTTGCATACGTACGCGGCGCGACAGACGGACACTGCATGGCAGACATGCGCGGTGCGGCATACCTTGTGCTGGTCAGCGAGTGACTTGACCGTCTCGATGTCGCCGCGGACGGGTAGATGCTCCGCCTGCGTCGGCTCCACCTTGTAAAGCCACTCCAGCAGAGACTTCATTGCTTCCTTCACCTGCCCCGAGAACGCCTGCGCCTCCTCCAGCTTCCTCTGTCTGCAGCGGGAGAAGGAAGGGAGAAAGGAAGCCGAGGCGGCGATTAACGACGGGGAGACGTTTTATTATTAATTAACTTAATTAGTAGTTAACGATGATCGCCAACTTTTTATGTAAGGGCTACTCTTTAGATTTTCTCGTTGCCTGTTGCCATAGTCATACTCCTCTAGCTTTCTCTTCTTCAGCGAAGCAAAGAATGTAAGGAAGGAGAAAGGAAGGGAAGGATACGCACATCCTGATTAATGACATCATGGGATAACTTCATTCAGTGACATCAGAACCAACTCTGGTACAACAATCCAACACTGCGATATGCTGTAGTAGGTATTCAATCTTAAGTAGAAATTTCACCCACAATTTCATTTTGAGGTGGTGACGATGCAGGGTAACATCTATAGCAGTGGCTCTTAACCTTTTTTGAGTCATGGACCCCTTTGTCTTGGAGAATCTGGTGAAAGCTACAGACCCCTCCCCATAAACATGCACATTTATAAGGTGATTACGGTTTACCTAAGGATGACTTAAGGTGCAACTACGGACCACCTGAAGCCCATCCACGGACCCCAAAGGGGTCCCTAGACCACAGGTTAAGAACCCCTGATCTATAGCGAGAGAGAGAGAGAGAGAGAGAGAGAGAGAGGGGAGAGAGA